TCATATTTCTTGTGGCCCTTCATATGTGAGTAATTTTAGATTGTGTCCTGAGCATCATAAATGTTTATGTTGTAGATTCTGGTATATTCCTCTAAAGAGTGATAATTAGTGTGTGTGTGTTAACTGGCATTTAACTATTCTTTTTATTATTTTTTAAAATAATTATTTATCTTTATTCATTTATTTTTTAATTTGGTCAGAGAAGGACAGAGAGAGAGAGAGAGAGGGAAAGTGAGAAAGCAAACTGCCAGTTCCGGGACTCAAAACCACAGTTGGCCATGTGGGAGTCCAGTGCCCTTAACCACCATGCCACCTGCCAGCCCCTAGTTTTTAATTTTTTTTTTTTTTTTGAGATTTTTACTATGGGGAGCTTGTGCTCACTGGAGAGACAGAGAAGCAGAAAGCAAGAAATCACCGCCTGGAGAGAAGGCCACACCACAATCCCTTCTCCTCCATGCTCCTCTTGGGATTTTGGGTATACACACATATGGGCCCAGCCTGAGTTTAAGCCACTGGGTCTGGGACTTAAACCATGGTTGACTACATGGGAGTCCAGCAACAACAACAACAACAACAACAAACGCCATCTGCTGGTCTGAATACTTAACTTTATTGGACTCAAGTTATAAACTGTGACTTGGGCAGCAGCTTGGATCTCAATTCAGTTCTTTTATCTTTAACTGGTGTCTGTCCTAAACATCGTTCAGAGGTGAACCAGAGGTTTGCATATAGTTTGTACATAGAATTTGAGGTGGTCCTTTGACTCATTCTTCTGAGCTTTAAACCCTCACTTTCCAGCAGCCGTGGTTGCTCTGATTCTGTGATTTCTTCTGTTTTTTTTTTTCAACCACAAAGACTGTAGCTTTCTGTCAGCTTAAAAGCCAGAAAATGGGAAACTCACTTTGTCCCATTCCCTTCTTCCAACTTTCAACCTCTCTGCAGAATTTGCCTGCTTTTTTGATCAGTCTCCAGTATTTTCAGGTAGCTTTGTGTACAAGTGCACCTCAACCAACATATGATGGGGTTATATATCCTGATAAACCCATTTTAAGTTGAAAATATCATAAATTGAAATGCATTTAATACACCTACCACACATAATAGCTTAACCTAGCCTATTATTAACATGCTCAAAACACTCCCCTTAGCCTACCGCTTGGCAAAATCATTTGACACAAAGCTGGTTTCGTAACAAAATATCAACTGTCTCATAATTTATTGAATACTGCATTGAAAATGAAAAACAGAATGGTTGTATGGGTACTTGATTTACTGTACTGAATATGGATTACTTTTACACTATTGTAAAGCTGTAAGTTGAACCGTTAAATCAGGGGCCATCTGTATTTTGTGGAAAGTTTATAGTTATTATCCATTGAAGGATCGGTTCATTAGGTGCTTATTCCACCATAAAGGAAGTGGAACTTTGAGGGAGATCCTTAAAATGAAGAAACATGGAAGGGGCGAGGGCAGGCTTAATCACGTGATAGCCCCTGTTTATACTTTGATCTTAATAATAAAGTAGCCGATCGCCTCAAGCAGTACAGAAGACAAAGAACTAACCAAATGGTTAAACCTGCAGGTGTGAAGGGCTAATGTATGGTGCCGACTGCATCTTTTTAGAAAGTTTTTTGCCAGATACAGAGTCCGGAGAATTTAAGTGTAGTGCTAGAAGGGAGCGCAGAGGAGAATCTGCCTCTATACTTACTGGTTCCCAGGAACAGCCTCCCTCATGGAAACATGGAGGGGCCATTTCAGGTTCTTCAGCTTCATTACTTTATATACATTTGAGCATTTGTCTTTTGTGCATTCACGCTTGATTCCTTTTTTTTTTTTTTAAGAGGTTTTTGCCATAGGATGTGTGTGTTCATCAGGGAGAGACAGAGACAGTGAGATAGAAAGCGTTAAATCACCACTGGGCGAGTGACCATTCCCCAATTCCTTCTCTTCCATTCTCCTCCTGGAACCCTGGGCATGCACAACATGCATCCGATGTGATTTTCAAGCCACCAGGTCCAGGACTTGAACCGTGGTCAGCCGTGTACGAGTCCAGTGATGTAACCACTATGCCATTTGCTGGCCCCATGTTTGGGTCTTTATAGCTCTGCTCAGCTATTCAGCCTTCCTACATCTAATCCAGTCACCATCTGCTTTGCCTGTCCTTATCCTTAAATAAGACAGTCTTGATTTTATATCCTTTCCACTTTTACAGGGAATTATCTCATGTGAATGGTTCCGTATGTACTTCATTCCTAATGCAGTTCCTACCCTAATTGCTTACACTGACTGAAGTTTTGACATTGGCATCTCTAGAATATAAAGCAAACCAAACATCCCCTTTGAGTTTTAGGGAAGATATTTGTAGACCTGAGTTATAATGAATCTATGATACTGTGTATTCATATTACTTAAGCTAAATATTTTTACAAAGCCATATCACTACACTTGAGGAGAGCATGACTGGGGTACCCCTTTTGTAAAACCTTGTCAATCTGGGTAGAGCCTTCACTTTTTTAAAAGCAGTGTAGCGAAAGCCATAACCATGGCCATTTGATGCTTTGAGGGCCATAAAGAAAGTTCAGAACTCTTACTGACCTCCCTTCATCTATAACTGTTCTGTTTCCTCCCACATCAATGTCCCACAAAGGCAGTGTTCCATAAATGTCTGTGTGGGTAAAGAAAAGGCCATTGACAAAGGAAAAACAGTGT